TTCCTGCTGCCAGCTCAGGTTTTAAAAGCCCAGCTTATTACCCCTAATAAACACGACTTCTGCCCAGTGCTACGGAGAGGGTTGGAGCAAACATGATGAGTGGCTGTACCCAGGCCTGTGGGTGAGTTTTTAGCATTTGCTTTTGGCACCGTTGTGAACAAGGTGAAGATTTGTCCACATTAGTGGACAATTAATGTCAATTGATTCTGTGATGTGAATGAAGAAATATGTCTCCATGACAGTGTCACTGAGCTATTTGGATTTAAAAATGGTACCATATGGAATTTGATAGCAAAATGTACATAAGATATATTCTGCTTTACAGAATGGAGGACATGGTGGAGATGCCGGAAGGTAGACTGACACGAGATGTTGGGCCTAGCATGTGACTCATCTGTAAGCCGTTAATTGCTAATTGACAGTTAAATGGTTACTTACTGCTGTCATGTGATCGCTTAGGATGTGAATGGTGTAAAATGAGCTCTCAGTGTTTCTTTGGGGGGCGGGGGGGGAGCTCTGAAAATATGCATGTGCCTTTCCCTACTGTTAAAAAAGAACCTTTAATCCCCAAGCCGTATAGATCTATTTGCTTCCCTTTTGCCAACAACATTATCCTGTCATTCAATGTCCCTTCACATGCTGCATCCTTTCCTTGTCCACTAGAGGTGATTTAATGCACAGGCATTAATGCACAGGCTTTAATGCACAGGCTTACCCAGGCTGATGCCCTGGGGCCTCTTCTAAAACACCTTCCCCCCCTCACTCACTTCCAGTCAGGGGTTCTCTGGTGTCCACATTAGCCCTATGAAAATTTTGTTGCGTAACTAATGCCTCACCCTGCAGAGTACATCCTTGGGTGACATTAGAACTACAGAACTAATGGAAATGTACCATTGTGGGACCGTAGTAATGATGAGGAGAAGAAATGGGCTTTTGTTCTGGGTGCTCTCTTTGGAACCCGTGTTCTGACTCGACTCGAAAACCCAGTTCAGCTACCTGAAAATTCTTACGTGGTCAGAAGATAAGACCTTGAACCCCCTGAAATGCAATTAGCTAGGAGACTAATTCAATGAGGATTATTACCTCCGATATCTTGTGTTATCAGAACTGTGTTATCGGAATAAAGTGGTACTTTTGCCATCATGACAAAGGTCTGTGCTTGTGCGTGTGAACTGTTCACCTCGTTCATTAATTCTCTCTCTTCTTTAGTGCCTACAGAGGTATTTTGGGAATTGAAATCTTTTAATTCTCAGAGGTAGTATGTACTGACCTGAGAAAGGGACCCTTCTAGGCAAGGGAACTGTCCGTCTAGGGGGGGTCTCATCTGATCTCATCTATGATCTATGGTGAGTGAGGGGGTGTAAAAGGTAGAATTTATTTTAAGAATTCGGAGGTTAAATACGGGGTACATTAATGTAATAGTCAGTGGCATTGTCACCTCATAATTTTGTGATACTCCCTCCAAGTTGTGCGGGTTTCTTCCCACAGTCTAAACACATACTGTCACAGTACAGTTTCCCATAGTGTGTGCAGTGTGTGCAGTGTACGATGGACTGGCGTCTCATCCAGGGTGATCTCCAGCTCTGTGATGCCCGGGACAGCCTCCAAGCTCAGTGCGACCCTGCACTGGGTTAGCAGTCGGAAGATGGATATACTTTAATTCCTAAGTTTATTTTTAGGAGGAATACAGTGCTTTACCCAGGAGCAACCTCTCTGGATAAAATCACAGTTACTGTGTTATGAGTCCAGAAATACAAAAAAATATTTTTTTTTCCACTAGAAACACATTTAAATTTGAATTTGCAATGAACATTGGCCCATGGGGGATTTAATATGGAGTTAATTTGTTTTTAATTGTCTTCCACAATATATTATATGCAGGAAAAGGATCTCATTACTCAACAAAGCTATGCAGTTAAAAGCTATTATGAGGCCTTTTATGCTTCTGAAATGTTTGTTGAAATTATTATTTTATTATTATTGTTGTTTAATATTGTTTGTAACATTGATTTTATTGGCATTGCTATTTTTTGTAAGATAGGGCCTTATTTAACTTGAATACTTTACCGCATATGGTAAATAATGGGCTGAATGGTTCGGATTCTTAAATTTGGTCATGGTGATGTACAGTCTGCTCTGTCATGTCACTACAAACACTTCATTGATGGATTAACAGACAGGTTATCTGTGTGCTTCAGGAAACTCATCTGTGATTCGATGCCTGCTCCGCTGTTATAATGAACAATGTGAGACCATTTTCCAAATGGTATAGACAGAGATTAAAAAAGGATCCATTTCAAAATAAATGACATAAATACCAATTGATTTTTTTAATATGTTATGTATTTCATAATTGTTTAATTCATTGCATAATCAAATGGGGAAATGTCATGTTTTGGTAATGTTCAAATAAAATATGTAAATATGAAATTATAGATATGGCTTTATGTTTCTGGATTTGTGTTAATGAGTGAGTACAAACATTTTTAATGATTAGTAATGAAATATTCAGTTATATCTGCAGGTGTTTTTCACATTGCGGGTATTTGCAGAGACCCATCCATAAGAAATGCTGTACACATATATTGCTTTGCATTGAGTTATGCTTAGTTTTCCTACATTAGAATAGACTGGCTTTTTCCATGTAGTGATTAAAGGGGGAGTTAAATCTTGGCTGGAATTCAGTTGGAATCCAACGACTGGACAGGATAATGTTGTTTGTGCTTTGTGATGCATACGCAGATGCAGAAAAAGCTTTAACACCTGCTAAAACAAGCACAGCTTAAGAGCTAAATAAACATGCACTGCGAATATTACTTTTACTCAAAATAGAAGTGAAAATTGTCAGCAAAAAATAATCAAGAGCTTCATCCATATTAAATGGTACTGATACCAAAACATGAGGAATGGCCATGTGCAAATGTACAAGTCAAACCAAGAAATATAAAGAGATGTTCCTGTTTTACTCAGTCTAGACCTCAGGTTACAATATAAATTCATTTGATGTAGTTAACCTTGTTGAACATTATCACTGGTTGGTTGCACGCCTACGGTTATTCCCTGCCTTGCGTCCAAACTTTCAAGATAGGCTCCAGGCTCCCCGCGACCCTGCATGGGACAAGAGGGTATGGAAGACGGATGGACAGATGGATGGACAGATGGATGGAAGGAAGGAATTTAATGGTTTCCCCCGCTGCCAGATTAAGCTTTGTCAGATTTTTGTTTTCTAGCTAACATACAACAACACATCCAGGATGCGATTGATGTACCAGTAATCTCATGATGACTTTCAGAAACTCCAGTCAGGTGATGCATTCATTTACAAGAAGTGATGGTCTTCAGATGCTTTTTGTGCTGTTATACTGAACTGCAGATGATGAAACTGGGAAGAGTCAAGGGGTGCATGAACCTGTGTGGCAAATAGTGTAGACATATCTTGCATGGATTAAAGGATGCCTCCAGATATTTATATAAAACTAGTGTTTCACATAAAATAATTTAAAAAATATTTGTTGTTAAATATTTCTGTTATTTTTGTGATTTTTATTATAGACTATAGCTAACATGGCACTTACAGAATGGGGACTCTTATACGTAGCTAACATAGTAATTACTGAATGGGGACTCTTATAGCTAACATGGTACTTACTGAACAGTAACTCATAGCTAACATGGTACTTTATTCTACTCATTATTATCCCACAATTTGATTTTACAACTACTGATGTCATTGTTCTCTATTTTTATTCTTATTTTGCAGTCTTATTTTATTTTTATTGTTATTTTAATATTTTTTTATTAAGTAATGATTTACATTACATACAAACAATGTGTAATGTCACTTACACAAATAAGTCATCGGAGGAAGGTGGAAAAACATTTCACTACACAGATGTCCAGTGTATGTTTGTGTAAGTGACAAATTAACCATGGAACTTACACTACCTTATTGGTAAATTAGGACCATAATAAAGTAGACGAAGGGAATGTGTACTATGGGAGGAGTAGAGTTATCACTAAAATCTTTAAAACAATATTGGATATATATATATATAGGAAGAGAAACAAGCAGTTTTTTGGTTTGTAGAGGGGTTGGCTTTATTTTCAAAGCACATTATAACATAGTATTACCTTTTCCAGGGCAAAGACATAATATAGTATCTAGTTTATAAAAATGTTTTTAAGAGATTTTTGAAGATCAACTGCGTGATTGTTGTGCGCCCCCTATGGGCAGGGCTTGGCATCAGCAATGGGTTCACAGCGGTCAATGACAGCCCTTATTTCACCAATCTGCACTCCATCATAGACCCCCGCAATAGAAGTCCATTGGGTCTCCCCATTGCTGTATGTGCGGCTCAGGCGTGCTTTAAATGGGATGTCAGCAGTGATCTTGCGGCCCTCCATGCGCACAGTGCAGGACTGGTTTGGTGGGATGTGGAGCTCAACAGCGACAGTATGGCTGATGGTCTCTACTAGTGTGGTCCCATAACTGAACTGCAGAGTCTTCTCCCAGGTGAACTCGATCCCGGCACTGCCAATGATCGGTATCTTGGCAGAGATCCCACCAGTTACACCAAGCATGGTGGAGCGTTTAATGTCCCATGTGCTCGCTACTTCACTTCTCTTCTCAATGGTAACTGTCTTGGTAACAGTCTGGCATTCATTATTGACCACACTAGAGATTCTCATAGTTTCTGGTGGATACTGGAAAATTTCAACCTCATTGATGTTATACTCTACATGAGAGATGTGCTGAGCATAGACATCTTTGTTGATGGTCAGCACTTGGTACGTCTTATACCAGTATTCATCCCCATCCCAGGGAAGAAAAAAAGCTTCATGTTGAGTAGAAATCTTTCCCAGGCCATATTTGTTCTTCCCAACAAAAGTGTTGACGCCAGAACATGTTCTGACAGAATATGGGGGCACAGAACCGTAGGAATCATCCTTCCACTGCAGAAACTCAAAGTTGTCCTCATTGACCAGGATGTCAAATTCAGGGGCAGCATATTCTCTGTCAGCATAGGGGTAGAAGCAGTATGGGCCTTTGCTTGGTGTGTAGAATCCAGCCTCACAGTTGAGTTTGCAAACATAGTCAGTGCGTGAGACATATCCATTATAGATACCCACTGCACCATTTGGAAGGACCCCGTTCCAACTCAGCCATTTGAGGTTGACATTTTCAACAAAGATTTCTGTGGACTTCCCTCCCTGTGAACCTTGCAGGTCTTTGGGTGTCTCTAGATTC